TGTTACATAACTGTCAATAATATAAAAAGCATAAAAAATTAATTTTAAACAAATTTCTTTACACATTATTTATTTTTTAACAATCCAGTCATTTTGACTGCTTTTGAGCAATGTTGGTATATGCTAAGTTTCCGTCTTTCAAGTGTTAATTACACTTAAGCTTTATTTAGATGAGATAAACTATTAAAGATGTGTTTTGCTTAATCTAATAACGTAAAGCCACCGGGAAATGTTAAAAATAATAGTAAATTAGGAAAATAAAGTTATTTTATGCATTTTTTGTTGTTTTTGTTTATGTCGTTCAGTTAAGAGCATCGTTTTGTAGTGTTTCTCAGTACTGATTTACTTATGATTTACTTTTTATTTTCCTTCTATACGAAAAGCGGGTATTCAGCTAGTATCGCAAAATTTTATTTTAACGGTGAAGAAACAGAGTATAGTCTCAAATTTAAGTACTCTAGCTAATCGGAATTCCGCTTGCAAATAATTTTATGTGGTTATTAAATGACCATACATTTTGTTTATAATGGCTTGGAAGGAGTGAAAATATGTATTTCCATTCAGCTCAGAGTTCCACTTAAAATTTAAACACTTTTAAGCGAGTCGAAATATGGTCAAAGTTTTGATTCACAATAAACTACATTAGGTGACAAATGGTGATAAGGGCAGAAAAATTTAACAAACCTTTGAAACTTACATTGTCATTTAGCAGATAGCTTCAGTTAAAATTTTGAGTGCTGTAACTATAGTCGGAAAGCTGATGGACGTTAACTCTTTTTTTTTTTCTTTTTTTTTGTCAAGAACAACTTTTTGCAGCGTTTAGGCAGTAATTGAAACTTGTATTGTTATCCAGCATATAGTTGCAGTTAACATTTAAGGAATCTTGCTCGTCGAAAAGTGAACAAAATTTTGATGGGGAAATCTTTAGAGACAGAGTTGGTAAAGACGCAGTAAAAATGAAAATTGCATAAATAGTTTGACTTCATCGATGGGACGAATGTGAAAAGGTTGATTCCTTAATGTTACGCAACACTCTGTTAGTCTCTATTTGTATTGGTAACTTTTTCCAAAGTCTGAGTTTTTGAAATTAATAATGTAACTCACAAAAAGCTTTAAGAAAACTAGGGATCATGCTCCCTTTTAACTGTGGATAGGAATCAATTCACAGATTGGTTATTTACTGACACGTAGAAAAAAATTTTAGGCTATCAGGGGAAAAAATTATGACATTTAAAAACATATAAAATTATTAAAAATAAAAATATAAAATTTGGTAGCGACATCATCTCATAATCTATGATATCATCAACAAACGTGTAATAAAAAACTATTGATAACTATTGTAATGGTTTACAATATTTAAAACATTGCACAGACATGCTAAATTGCAGACATGTGCATTTACTTCCCTAACTGAAAAAAATTAACATTTTATTTCTTATAAGGTATATCAACCCATAATCAATCTATCAATATATAATCAATCGATCAATATATAATCACGAATTCACACCACATTTTAAAATAGCAATTTAAAGGGCCAAAACAATAACATTATCTTCCTCTCAAAATTACCATTTTGGCCGGACCTTTTCTTTTAGCTATTTTGTATATGGACATCCGTATATACGATATTCGAGTGAATGTAGCAGTACATATGGACAAAGAAATAATATATAGTCAAAAAACCCATAAAAGCACGAATTCATTTACTTGTAATATATTGTTCTTGCAGCTCAATCTAGATCATGATACATGGAATATAAGAATTCATCTATAGAAAAATAGAATACTGGCTACAGCTTTAGAAAAACGTGTATTAAATCATGTATGATGCCTAAAACTACAAAGATCTGGAACTGACCAAAACTTAAATAATTTACTTTATGAAAGATTTGCCCTTAATGCTGTTATGTAAAATCAAAGTCACTACTGAATATTTATTTTTTGCTTAATTATGTAAAATTAAGTAAAAAATAAATATTCAATAATGTATATTTTTTTTATTGTTTAAAGAAATCAGTGTGGTTTAATGTGTTCTTTAAATGGAAATTAAGAAAATAGAATAAAGCATCTACTAAATATCTGTTCATTTTATGAAATGCCCAGTTATTGCAATAACTATGAAAAGTTTATACCAATTATTAAAATAATTAGAATAATTCATATTCTTTCGAAATCCTCCAAGCATTTCATACGATTGTTTAGAAAATCTATGTAATAATAATATATAATAATTTTTTGCACGTCTGCAATAACACAAAATTTCAATTAGTATGGAAAGAATATGCATTATTAGTGTAAAAGTTATTGAGCGTAAATATTTCAAAATGTTCGAAACCGGTATCAGTATCAAAGCGTTTTATTTTTCTCTTTAAACATTTTAATTATTTTCATACAGCCAATTCTTCTTTTATCTCTAAAAAAACATCTAAAATGTAATAATGTAAACTTAACTTTATTATAACTATTTGCTAGAGAACACAAAACAAATGCAAACTTACCGATATTATTTTAATCTTCGCACACGAGCAAACCAAATTGTAACAACGAAAACAAAATTTTATAAGTTCTGAGCAAACGATTTATTAATTAACAATTAAAACGATTTTTAAATTAGATAATATACATTTTATAATTCGCGATCGCAACGAACTATAGGGGGCGTTGTTGTAAGAGACGAATTCCTGCAATTTCCATTTGAAAAGTCATTCAGTTGCTCTGGAGACGTCTTTAATGTAGTGTGTAGCATTGCAATGTTCCTTCTTTATTGTTACTTATTAAATTTAAAAAAGAAAAATGTTTGATATTCTTATGCAAGCGAAAACAAAATGGTATCTCCTTTTTTTTAGAGAAGGAACATCCATAACTCATCGAAAATTATTTATAAGTAAGCAGGAGAAAAATACGTATTTTCTTATTAGAGTTAAAACCTGTGAAATCGTATAACTAAATTTGATGATGTAACATGAAAGATCTATTTAAACTTTACATTCCATAGTTTTAAGAATCATATTACTTCAAACATTGAAATAAGCAAAAAGTATACGTAAGATTACAATTCTGTGTAATTTAATTTTGCAAAAAAAGCTTTTTGACACCAATTTTTAACAAAAAAATTTAAAGTTTCAATAAAAATCATTATTTGGAAACTAAAAAACGTAAAAAACGCTGTACGAAAAAAAACGATTCTAAAAATTCTTCAAATTGAAATAAAAAACTTTCATGCCGTTTTTCATTTATAATCGTACGTAGAAAACCATTCCATAGAAAATTATCATCAAATAAGAAAAATCATCACATCTGTAACAGTATGCGATCACGAAATCGGAAGTTATCGGTTGCAAGCTTGTTAATAGCAGAAAGGTGAAAATTATTGAGAAATTGTTCTTCAAATGTTTGTTGTGTTCTGTTTTAAAAAGATTTAGCAATGTTTTGGTTAGTTTTTTCATGTTCATTCCCTTTTCCTTAGGGAAATTTTGCTTCTTATTTGCTACTAAGAAAATGGCGTTCGACTCTGCCAATGATTATGATAGAACTAAATGAAAACTTAATAAATTAATGCCTGATATTTTCAGGCTCCGCTAGAGGGCGTATTCAAGCGTTGCGATAGCGAATCTTGTTTTTAACCGTTAATATAAGCACGTTCTAAACATTAACATTTTATACAAGAAATGTATCCAGATTGACTTCCATATTTTACAAACTTTTTTAAATATTGCAATACAAAAATTTATAACTTAGTTCATTAGCATTGTGTTCTGGTATATCATATTTTTTTTCCAAAATAAAAGGTTTTAAGTTGATAATTTGAAAAAAGAAAATGAATCTTTTGCAGAAATTAGAAAAGACAGCTATTTTTTCCCTTGTAAAAATTATTTCTTATTTACACAAAACATTTTGAAACTATATTTTAAGTTTTAAATTTTTTATAAAAATAATTTTCAAGTTGTATAAAGTTATGAAATTAATTTTCAGCACATTTGTTTTTAGTAATTGTGTCACAATCCTACTTCCTAGCTTAAAAATTATGGAAGAAACTAGATTAAAAGAAAGAAATTTTCAGGTAAAAATACCATGAAACCTAAAACAGCATATTTTTGATTTACTCCATCATTCATTCACCAAGTCATTGTTTAATGAATTCACAAAAAATATTAAAATTTCATACTTAACAAAGTGTCTGCATTATTTGGTCTGCATATGTTTACATTTCTTAACACATTTTCTGTGTGTAAAAAAAAAACGTTGAGCTGATATATTAAAGGAAACTTCTTGTAATAAGACAATTTTACTTAGAAAAATATTAGAACTTTTAGTAAAAAAAATAGAAAAGGTATGGAAAAAAAATTGCATATTTCAGATTTTAAAAATCCGCGAACTTAACCTGAAAAACAAGCACATTGCAATATTTTTACTTCTGAATTTAACAGCAATAATAACTTGTTTAAATAACGTGTTTACAATATCAAGAAAATTTAATAGCCACGTATGAATACATATAACTCAAAACAAAAACAACCCATTAATGAAACAAAACATAATTCATTGACTAGTGAAATTTATTGAGAACAATTGTAGTTTTTTACATAACATTTTTATATACATTTATAACTTTGGAAAAAAATGACACATTTGCAACTTCCAAAAAGTAAATTACTGCTCAGAATTCTTAATATTTATAAATAGAAAATGAATTCATTAATTTAACACTTTATTTATAATCATTTTTAAAAAATGTGGGTTTTGTATGTTTTAAAAAGCCATTTTAAAAAATCTTTAGGAACATAAAAAATCCATAAACGATTATACGTATCAAGAAATATCATTTAATAATAACCTTTATTTAAGTTGTAATTAAAAAAAAGTTAAATTACACTTTATTTGCTATAATTTAAGATAATAAAAGGGATAAAAAAGAAAATTTAAAATTATGTTTAAATTATTGAAATTGAAAAAAATTTAATAAAAGTTATTAATCTTTTTAAAATATTAATTTGTACTGAAAAGAATTAAAACAATATGCAACAGAACTAACAGCAGGGAAAAGTTTTCTTTAATAAAAGTTTAAATCCACGTAAATATTTAGAATAATCTTAAAGTTTTCCCGTGTAGATGAAAAACTCAGCAATAAAAAAGGCAACCGTTATGGATTTTTACGGTGTATTTTAAAAACATACATAGCACCATTTTGATATAAAAGAATGATTAAATAGAAGAAAAAAAATCTCTTTCGTGATTACTTAGGTAGAGATTTATAATTTATTTTATGAAAGCAAATACTACCATAAAATGTAACCTTTTTTAGAGTCTTGGGTTTTTTCTGGTCTACTTCAAAAAATTTAGCGACAAAATATTTATTACTGTTTTGTAAGACCAAGAAAAGGTATTTGAAATTGTTGTTTTGTCATTGAAAGTTACATCACTAATATTGAATTAAATATTTTTTACCGACAATATTATTGGTGGCAAGCGTCATGGTCGAATTGATTTTCAGTTTAGTTTTTGAAGAGATCAACGTACTTTTATTGATCAAAAATTTTCTTTATGTAGGTAATTTTTTTATCTACAGAGCTTTTAGTGAAATATCCAAAATTGTGGATTATGGATTTTGCTGCCCGTGTAGTACTTAAGGTAATTAACATGTAAAATAATGTTAAGGTAATTAACATATAAGACATTCATATAAAATAATGTCTCTTTCATCATCACATACATTAAGTTCATAAAAAAATGCAAAAATTAAATTGAATAAATTATTGATATTAGACGTAGATTGTTAAAATTTTCCCCTCCCTCTTAAAGAATTGCTTTGTAAAATCAAAAATCGATCAGTTTTAATTTACCATTCTGTTTCAAATTTTGATAAATCCCAGTTGAGTGGTGCTTTCTAAATTAAGGAACATTAAAAAATATGCAACACCATGAAACTTACATTATGTTTAATACCATGTTTGGTGACTATCATAAATAAAATCTTATGAAACTTGATGAAACTTTAATTCCTATGAAACTTGAAAGGTTTATTTTCATAATCAGTACCATTATTTTAAGATTCAATAACTTTTAGTTACTGTTTTTCTCTTTACTTTATGTATCGTCAGCTCTCTATTTCAATACAAAATATCTCATAAAACCACCTAAAAGCATGATTTCGAGACTAGACTATTCCAAAAGAAAATTTGAAGGCAAATTGGCAAAATCCTAATCTGGCAACTTAAAAAAAATCGTTGATATAAAATTTATTGCGCATAAAATCTTTCGTAAACAACGATATATCCTTTCTTGAAGAATATGGTCAAAATTTTCGAGTAAACAGAACACTACCAGGAATTTAATGTCCATATTTTGTATTCGAGAAGTTTTGTGCAAATGAAAATTCATTCGTGAAAGATTTTGAACACAAATTGTAAAAACAATGCCGTTAGAACTTTCAAAACCACACTTTTTAAAACATGATTTTTTTTTCCTCAGTACATTACATCCGATCCGAGCACCAAATTTAAGTACTTCCACAATTACACCATGCGACAAATTATAGTGCTTACTATATAAAACACAAACGTGCAGAGCTCAAACGAAAATTCAACTAATAGCTTCAACCTTTCTGTCCGAAGCGTCAGTAAGGCACATGTTGGGCTGTAGTCCTGTGGGGAATAATAAGCTCTGATTCTGCAATATCCATGTCCATTGGCCTCTCACAGAGACTGGCAGAAATTTGCATCGGAAAAACGGAGGTGTAATTGTTGGGCACTATCTTGATATCTTGGTGCTGACTTTGATCAAGATAGTGGTCTTCTTTTGAGTTAGGCACAATCACATTTGTGGGATAAGTGAGATCATTGATACCATGCTGTTGAGTGTGACTAAAGAAAGAGGAAATCGCATTGGCTGTCTCCCAGTTTGTATTCAAATGACCTGCAAAAAATAAAATGTGTAAGTTCGCATAATGTTTATCATAATTTTTCTTGGTTTTAAATGCTTAGAATTAACTATTTCATATAAATAATTAAGCAATTGCGTTTCTATTGAAGCTACTATAAACGATACTAAAATGAAATTAGACAAACATCAGAAGTCAGTTTTTTCGATTTGTATTTTAAGAACAAGAATTACATGACGCAGAAACCCTCATGTGTCTAAGATTTTTACAGATCTAAAATATTTTGTTTTACATTATAAGTGTTATTTTTTTCGTGCAATGTATGGACCCAATATTCAAACTGTATAAACTAAAAAAAACTGTCTAAATTTTTCTCCTAATATATTTGGTTTAACAAAAATATTATCAGATAAATTTTTTCAGCATAGTGTTAGTTAACTTTTCAAGAATAAAACTTCAAATGCTTATTTCGGTCAGTATTATAAATCAGTATTTCTCTTTTCCTTATTTTTTAAATTTTGGGACAAAGGTAAAAAAAAAAAGAAGAAGAAAAACATTACGTGTTGCTAAAGAAATTTTTTCTAAATACACTTTCAGAAAAATACGCTTCCGAATTTAATTTTTCCATATTTTTCATAATTTTAATCTTTCTTAGATATTCTAAGCTATCGATTAAATAATTCAACTGAGTGAAGTAATTTCTCAGAATCATTCTAAACTTACCTTCTTTTTCTGAATCCCTGATTTCATCCGGCGGACTAGCAAAATTATCGCCATTTCCATAATCTTGCAATAACAGATTGTCAATGGCAGCGAAGAATCTCTGAGACACATCTGGGTCGTCTAAAGAGGTGACCACATAATCATCTTTCATCGCTTCACTTGCATGATTTGAATGGCTATAATTATCCTGATAAGTCTGTATGTGATGATCCTGTTCACTCTCTGACCACGTCCCTGGTTTTCTCAAGGGCTGGTCTAAGACTAGAATATCAGAAGGATGTATGACATCTTCTATTTCTGGAAATGTTGAGAACGCGTCTGTACTTCTGGGTGACGAATGGTGAATAGGCGTTAAGGGGCATTCGTCTGAAAAGCTGGTTGATAAGTCATCACTGGCAACGGAATGGTGAAGCAGGGGAGGTGGCGGTAGAAGCACGTGAGTGTCCATAGTGTGACTATTGTGTTTAGTTGTAGGATGACCTCGATAGGGATCACAAGAAGAGTAAAAACTTTGGTTAATTCTGTCCATTTCTGTATCATAACCTGTAATTGAGATATTAATAAAGTTAGAAACACAAAAGGCAATTTAATCAAAATCCATAGTGGATTCATAATAGTGGATGAATTTAATAAAGATGCTTAAAATGTACCATTTTCCACAACAGGTTATGTTTTTAATGCAAGCTTTTGAAATATACATAAACAGTATTTAAAAATAACCAAAAGTTTTCTTCCACAAAAAGTGTAAAAACAACTATATTGTATGTAATTATTAATTTTCTAAGTGATAACATAAGCAATTATTTTTCATATTTTAAACATGATATAAAATTAGTGTATAGATAATGGTTATTTTGATAAAGAGAATCTAAGACGTTAGGAAGCATTGTAAGCTGAACCGTAACCAAGTGCAAGATCTGCTAAGTGAGTGCTGCTTCTTACATGCCTGCATTAGTTGCTTTGCACTAGTGAAAATACGTTCAACTACTCGAAAATCCGATTAAATTCAAGACCTTATCTTCACCATCAGCTAATGAAATACAACAGTGTTATGTACAAAGTAACAATCGTGCTTTGGTTTTTGCAATTTTTATTTTTTAAACAGCTGTGTCAGTTTATTTTGACTAAAGATTGAACTATAAAAAAAGTGCAAGGCTTATTTTTTATTACAAGATACTCGAATTTTACTTTTTCTTAATAAGTACTTCAAATGCCCAGAATATCGGATCTTTTCAACTACACCGAAAGGAGTCAGCTTAAAATCATTAAAACTACAACAAATCATTAAATAATAGTCAAAATAATGATATTGTGATTTGCTTTGAACCGATTTTTTTTTCTTCATAACGAATGTTATAATAGATAATTTTTGAAAATTTATGTCTGTTCCTTATTAAGGAAATTCGTTTTCGCATATCTTGAATTATAAAAATTCGCTTAAGATAAACAAGCAAAAACTGAAGAAAAAAAAGTTCACACTTAAAACTTACCATCACCGAAGGAACTATAATAAGCTTGATCAAAATCAGATGCAACTTTAGCAGCGAGTCTGTAGGATGTCGAATGGCCGTAAGAGCAGGCCACGTCCTCTAGCACCTTGTCAATGGCTTGAAACACAGAGCATTCGGTTGGCATACTCTCTAAATTAGTTACCATCAAATCACTATAAGAAGATGGTTCGTCTTTGCTTACAGCTGCAAAAGAGCGACAGCCCACAGTGTAGTTTTTGGAACACAGACATTCGAAGGGAGGACAGGAACATTGGGTATCACCTGAAAAGGATTTATTTATCTTCAATTATATATGATTATTTCGGGAAAGCATGCGGGAAATGCTTTTGAATGGAATGCGTTAAACACACTTTTTAAAAACCAACCACCACGATTGTAAAAAAACTCACTGAATGGCGTTTTTTCTACGCAGGTTATAAAAAAAATTCAATTATAAGTTCCGTCAAAATGGCGTCACATGTCTAAACTTAAAAAAAAAAAAAAAATTCTGCTGCGTTAGATAAAACGAAATTCCTTTTTGAAGTTTTTAACGCCTGGTTTTTAAAAAAATCCTGTTAACAAAAATAATTGTGCTATTGTGCTTAACTATGACAAGCTATAAAATATTATACGTTTAATTTAGATTAGCTGAAAAATTTAATCGAAATATTAATTTGTTTTTGACAAAAAAATATATTAACCCTAAGTGCCCGAAATTACTACTTTCTAGAATTACACATCATAAACATAAATTCGCAAAAGCATCCTAGGCTAACATTAGCTATTTTTTCGACATAAATTTGGCTTAAATTATAAAGTATTTTTTGCTCTTAAAGTTTCAGAATAGCACACGTATCGGACGTTGGATAAAATGTGTTTAGCTTTATTTTCATTTTAAGCTTGATTCAATAGTTGTTTTTCGTTGTGTCAAGGAGAACGTACAGGTTTTTTTTAAATTATTGATTATCATTTAATTTGCATTCATCAAGTATTTAAGTAAATACTGTTTAAGAACGCGTTTTTTTTATAAAATTTTACATTATTTAAGAATTTGATTTTAAAGTTCAGATTTCGCGTTCTAAAAATTGAAACAGAAAGGTTTTAGTCATTTTTATATTTTATAATTTTTCTGTTAACTTGGGAACATTAATGTACGAAATGTCATTAAAAATTGCAGATTATACATTATTCGGTAAATACAATCATCGGTCACCTTCAAGGTGATAACCAGTTAACTTTTAGTGTAGATGGAATAGGTGATCAGACTTCAGAAACATTTACCAAAAATCAAATATCGAATAGATATATATTTCTTATAGTCCTCATTAAAATAAATCATGAATTAAGATAGTTTTAGAACTAAACCCTTTACTTAGAAAAAAAAGAAAGTAAGAATTTGTAAGTACAAGATTGCCTACGTACCATTCTTCTTAGAAATTTGAAGTTGATGATCAAGTCTAGCTAGTTTGTTACTTTCATAAGAAGAACTATTTCGCCTCCAAGCTGGATGCATATCTGGTCTTTTATTCTCTTTCATTGGTATCTAGAAAAAAAATATTAACTATTTAACTTTTGCAGTTTACTAGGAAAAACTGATCCGTATTTATGGTGAAATAATTCTTGCAAGATCTCGTTTTATTATCATTTTTAAAGTGTTTCAAGTACAGTTTTAATTTTGAAGAATTGTTCTATTTTAAAATTTATTAAAGTATTTGTTATTATTATCATCATTATTATTATTATTATCAATCGAGTATTAGATCTCATCAAGATTTTTTTTTATTTAAAAAGATTGTAAATTTTGCATTTAGAAATTTTAGTTGTTTCATAAATTAACGGTAGGTTAATTTATTCATCGATTTTTTTTTTCATCGATGATTTTATCTAAACATTTTAATACAAGCTGAATTGTCATCTGTGGAAATTCTCTGAGATGATTGGCACATAAATTGCTCACATGGTTGCTTTTATTAAAGCACGCAACATTTATCTAAAGTGCTCACACAAAATTCATATTCTTTTAGCTAAGAAAGACGCATAAATAAATGCATTTTGAAAAATGAAAGAATTTTATTGCTTAAAAGATTCCATGTAAGTATTTGTAATTATTTTTTAGCCTTTTTTAATACATTTAAGAACTATAAATCTTAAAAAAGTCAAAAAAAGAAAATATTTTAATCATTTTTATGCTCACTTCTAAATCAAATCGATTATTCTATGAACTCATGAAAGGGTCGTTTGCGAATTTCACTGATAACTATTATTATATAAATGGACTAAAGTGTATCTTTAGAGACTAAAGCCAATTTTACAAGATCCTGTGACTTAGCATTAAATGTGTTTCTGATGATCATGTTGAGTTCAGGTTTCGTCACGCCAGTTTAAAAGACTTGGTGGCGAAAATGGGCGGCGTTTCCATCAATTCTTTGTGTGATAAAATCATTTTTGATACTGATTTGGAAAATATTTATTCTGTATTGTTCCAAGCACGACTGAGAAACTATATCATTTGGTGATCGTGAGAAGGAACAGAATAATTTTTTATAGTGGTTATTTGTTATATCTTAAATGATCTTTTGTTCTTAAGACCTGTATTTAGTTTGTTACCGAATTTCTCAACAGTGGTAAGTAAAAGTTAAATCTAATATTTAAATGTGTCATCCGTACTATTGGAAAAATTTAATTTTATGGATATTTTTCTTACATATAATATAGAAATATTAAACTTTAAATTTTAATTAATAAATAAAACACTTTTACATTGTGTATAGTCTTCACAGGTACAATAATACTTAATTTTTTTCTGCCTTTCATATCTTTGCATTATGACTGTAAACATTTTAAAAATATTATCAAAAAAAGTAAATTGAAACTCAAATAGTTTAACTTATACATAATATGGCTGAAACTCATATGGTTAATTATAATGTTTTACTAACTTTGAGTTGATGTTTCCCAAAAACCTCTTTTACATTCTCAACCCTTTTTAAATCAAACTGAATAAGAACTTAATAGCGTTTATACAACTAATGTAGTTTTCAATGCACATGGACTTTTCTTATTGCTTATGTACGATATTTTTTGATTGATTGAATGTTGAACTTAGAATTTAAGTTAATCCTTTAAATAATACGATTTTAAACATTGAAAAGAAAATGTGTAATTGAAGCTGCATTAGTTATGTAAAGTAAAAATTCAAAAAAAAAATTAATAGAAAAGGAGCGATAGTTTCAAATAACTTTTGATCTAAGCATTAGATTTTTACGTACTGAGACTCAATCTTAAATGGTTTTAGTGAATAACTTTAAATATGCCAATTAATTAGTGCAGACATTATTCTAAGTTACGAAATCAAACTCAGAAACGTTCTCTCTCGAAATAAACAGGCATTTTTTTGATGGAATCAAATTATTGACCGTCTAAATATAGAAGAAACTCAAATTGATAATCAATTGATAGTTAACGCAAATCCTTTTTTCCACCAGTTTTAAAAAGCTAACAATATACAAAATAATTTATACTTCAAAAGAGTTCAGTTATGAAGGATGAAGAAACAACAGTTCAATCAAATTGGATCTTTTTAACACTTCTTTTTCTTTATTTTAATAAAAACTAAAAACTCTAACATACACCTTTTAGCGATAAAATAAATTATTTTACGTCCGATAAAAGAACTTAAATATTGTAGGATAAAACAAGTAAGTTTGCTTTATTCAATACGCTTCGTTCGTTAATACAATTTCTTGCTTTGAAACAGCTAAAATTTTTATATTGAATAGAACATTTCTTAATTAATGTGAAGTTAGTTCTTTTAGTGTTTCTATGTTTTGACAAAAACTTGTTTCATGACATCCCGTATGCAATTTTCTTCGAAGAAACGCATTATACTTCCGTCAAAAAAATAAAGTAGCATTTCGAAAAGTAATTCTCTTGTAAAAATTCATTTGTAATTTTTATAGTATCATTCTCTTTGAAATTCAAAAGGGGAAAAACTAATCTTTTGAATCCTTTGTATGAATTTCAGAGTCCCAAACAAACAATTTATAATTCCTATTTCATAAAAGAAAACGATTTTATTTATTTAAGAATTGGATTTAAACGAAATAACCATTCGCATGCGCTGTATTTCTGCCCAATTTTTCCGCTCTTTTTTATGAGAAAGAATCTTAAGAAAAATTGTTTGAAAAAAAAGAAGCATTTGGAACTTAAAAGAAGAGATATGCTTGAACGAAATAGCAGCTTCAAAACTTTCGGGAGAACGTTGTGGACTGGAAATTTCCCTGTTTTCACCGGATTGCGGTAGAATATCGCTAAATTCAATCACAGAAAGATGCAGCGGAGAGTGAAAACGGTTTGTTTGTCAAGGTTCCAGCTGTTATCTTTCCCACTCGCTCGACGATCTTGCATCACTGGCGAAACGGTGCGCCCTCTTTCGACTGAGTAACGAAGCGAAATGGTTAGTTTTCTCATTACATTTGTTCTGTCTATTTTTCGCATGTTACGTTTGTGCGGAAGGAATTCGAAATATTTACGTTAGCTGATTTCCGACAAGACTACCTGTTTCTTCATTTATTCTTTCTAAACGTGCCAATGAATTGATTTCTAAAAATCTTTCAATATTCCCTCCCATTTATCTATAAAAAATATTATTTACTAGAAATTTTTCCGGCAACACTTATCGATTTAAAAGCAAAATTGTTCAGCAATATATTTGCATAACGTTTAAAGACATTTCCAAAGACATTTAAAGACATTCATACCCCCTATTAGGCCAGTAAGAGCCAATTCAATTTTGGTGTTAAATTCCCCCCCCCCTCAAATATTATCCTATGTAATTCATAAACAACAATGCTTTAAATAAAGTAATTATTTCATCAAGATTATTTAAAAATATTTGGATATATATGCTGTTCTAAGCATAATAACGGGATTTAAGTACATGATTTTATATTAAAATATATGCACTAGAAATTTATTTTACTAAAACCAAAAATAAATTGAAATAATAATAATAATAATTAACTTTGTCACCTATAGTTGTTTTTTACAAAACTACTCATATTACCGAAACATACTTATTGAAGCTTCTGTTACAAACCACTTTGAAAAATTTTAATAAGCATAAACTTTTAGAAAAAAAGAAAGCAAATAACTGCTCTAAATGTAAAATATCACTTTAAATAACATGTTATCAAATGAACCGAAATCATAGAATTAGAGGTTTCGTTTCTAGTTTTAGATAATCGTGCTAGAAATACGAGTGACTAAAAACGTAGCATATTTAACAAATAAAAAACCCTCCCAGAATTTTTGTTCTTAAAACCGGAAGCTTGTACATTTTCATTTTTTCCTTCCTTACAATTGCTTGTTATAACATGTTTTTTTCTCTCTTTAAGCATTCTATACCTCTCAGCTATGAAACCATATTAAAAAAAAGAACAAAACTATGTAATAAACATCTACATAATTATCATAAAAGCTTCTCCCAATTCAGCTAAATGTTTTAGGTGCAACAAAAACAAAGATAAGAAGAAAAAAATTCCCCCAAGGTGAATTAGTAAAATACCAATTTTTCGAGATCACTTAAAACGTTCCACCCAAGTTTCTTCAAAACTCATGAATAATAACAGTCAGCGCCATTTTCATTTTTTTTTAACAATGCACATTGAAGATATGTGTCTTTCTTTAAGCCTGGAGGAATATCGTCTATATTCGGCAATTGTTAACAAGGACAATTATTGCCAAAGTGGCTCCATTTAGGTGCTTTTCCGCCAAATGATCGACCTACGGTACAGGTAATAAGTGTTCTATCGTTAACTTGCTCTATTGCGGTATGGTGCTTCGGGTGTAGGTCCCTTATTAAAGGTGTCAAAGGGCAGCCATTCCTTCGTTCAAAACATCGCTCTTTTTTTTTCTCTCTACTGAAAGCATGCATAATTTATTTATTTCGATTTCAAGTTGGAGACGACGGAATGAACAATAATACACAGTAAGTGCTGCATCATCACCAGTTAAGAGAACTATGAAGTAATTGCTGTATTTGTCACTTTTAGGTGAATGAGTTCGCGTTATAAAACACCGAAAATTGAAATAAATTTTTTAGAAAAATTGCATTTTTATCTATATTTCAGTTTTTTTATTTAAGTTACCGGTATTCGCTAAAACATTAAAAAGGGAAGGAAGCGGTATCTTTTATTAAATCAAAAGTAAAAGATAAATTACTTTGAAAAACACTCATCTTTTTGTTTTCATTTAAACTTCTGTCTTTTAAACTTCTAATGTGCAACAATTACAAAAATTAATTCTGGTCTGTTATTATTTTTGAAAGCGTCTAAATTTGTTTAATTAAACACTTTTTCTTTCCTTTAAAATTTGATTAAATAATGCGATAAATATTTTACGTATTTTTACGATTATTTCTTTCAAAAAAATGCTGTTATATCAATCTATTAATCGGAATCACAAGAAATTTAAGCAAAGGTATTCCCATAAATGAATTGCATTATATAAATGCACTGCATGAGTATTAACAATTCTTTCTTAAGAGAAAGACTACAAGGATACAAAAATTGACGGAAATAATTACTAAAGAGATTGCCTGAAATTCTTTATTTACATGGATAAGCTATTTATTGATAGTGGTTAGTTAGATCTGTATCCAGTTTTTAGCTTGCGAAAATATTTCAAGAGTATTTCGAAAACTTTCTTTAAGTTTGTTCTTCTACATCATCAAGCCATTATTCTTATATCATTAATCCATTGTTACATCATTAAGTCATTTCTATATTTCAACTTATCAAACTTAAAATTATTTCGTGAAATAAACATGAACAGTCATATGCACCTTAGCTTTTTAGGAATCGAGGATATACGAATCTTTGAAGCAGGATTCAAAATAGCAAAGACACAAATGTAATTCTTTAACATTAAATAACGTGTCCCGTTTCTTCAGAAATAGTTTCCAAAGTATATTAAAAAAAGTCTAAGAAGTTTCTACGAGAAAATTATGTTTTAATTTTCTAGATAATTGTTCAAGCCATTTAAGAACTTTCGGTTTCTCAAACTTCAAATTTTCTAAATCAAACTAAAAAAACTGAAAATTTCCTAAATCAACTGCATCAAACTAATCCCGTTTTAAGAAGCTAAACGCACAGAGCTCTCTAATTTAAACACTATATTTTAAACATACACATATCCTTTACTCTCCAATATTAACTTTCACGATTTGAAGATAGGAGTTAATATCTTTTTTCTTATCTAAGTCATCATAATGACAAGTTCACAACACGCAAAACTGATAAACAACAAAATGATAAACTGTCTACAAATTTAAAATTATAGCCAGTTGAGTACAGCACATAGAATACAGTGCATGTTCAACAAATGATCATATTCTTTTCTTTTCCTTTTAAGTTTGTAGACTGCTGAAACATTATGAACTTACAATGGTTCTACAATTCGCTTTGCGTGTAAAAGCCATTTGATCCGGGATGTTGTGTCTACAAATTTATGGGGTATTTTTTCAACGGATCCTATTTTAGGTTAGAATTAATGTTTAATCAAATAGAATTTTTTTTTTAAGAAAACTTGAAATAATGATGACTTGATTCTCTGTAAAATAGTTCCTAATTAATTAACCTTATGAAACTTAGTATATTTTTGTGCTTGTTAATATATAGTTTTAAAATATAAGCTATTTTTGAAGCTCCTTATGAAACTTAATTTTAAAAAATTGTGACTAATGCAATTTTGATTGCTGAGGACTAGATTTTATAAAATTGCTGGTTGTAGATGTCGTAACTTAGTCAACTGCACAGAATTTCAAGCTCTATAATGCATAATTTGCTTCGCCATCAGATTTTAGGCATTGCAATATTAGAAATACGATATTTAATTTAACTCTAAACATTTATCTAATTAATCATCTTAAGAAATTTAATATAATTTCTGCATGTTAATATATAAATGCTGCAGATGTCGTAACTCTGCAGATTGCAGAAGACCGATAAATGATCAATTTATGCGTATTTCGCTTTAAAACAATTTGGTCCGAAATGCTGAGTCAATTAGTTTTTTTATCCTGTTATCACAATTTTGGTTAAGATTAAGTTTCAGCTAATAATAGTTTCGCGCTACAATTCTAAAAATAATGATAACTAGATTTACCATAAAAATTTATCTGTAGACGCTTAATAAAGTTTCTGCACATCAAGATACAGAATTTCTTAGAACCAATTAAATTTGAATTATGAAAACATTCGACTTCACTATAGCTAATTAATTTTGAGCGTAGCATATGGAACACTATACTTGAGTTCCAGGCACATTGTTGTAGAATGATTAGTGATTATCCATAAGTATACTTACTTGATGTTATGACATCTTATAATTTTTTAAAATTTATAAACAAATAAATAAAAATCACGTTTTAAAAGCCATCCCCTCATCTTTATTCTCATTTTATGAGAGTAAATAACTGAACCCGTGATTTGAAAATGCTCCTAAAATAAATTAGGGAAAAATAAATAAGGAACGCCAAATGAATAAGGGAGAAAAACTAAATTTGAAATAATTTGCAACTTGTCCATAAAAAGCTCATTTTAAATTGACCATGTTTGCAGTAACTTATAGTAGTCGTATAAATAATGAATGAGAAATTTACCGAATAATTAATAGTTCGCTTCAAAATACTCACATGTAATTCTAAACTAATAGCATCTTGAATATTTTTTGTCCTCCTATGCATTTGGAGGGGTGAATGTAAGGTGCGGCGAGCCTCTGCCGTGGCCTTAGGCTCTGGTTTAGGATGATCGTGGCTGCCTTTGGCTTGGAAAAAGATCGCATGTTCCGTATGTCGCCAAAAGTGAGTAACCGGGTAACCACAGTGTCCTCTGCATGCAAGAACTTCTAATCTGCCGGAGCATTTACGATTCGGACAAGGTTTTCCTGTAAAATATTTATTTATTAATAGTTTATATTAGATCTTAATTATTTTTAAATTCTTAATTAATTTATTATAAATTGTGAAAGAATCTCTTTACTATATATCAAAAGTTAAAAATAATCCATTTAAAAATTTTTCGTTGTTAAAGAACTTCTTTTTATTATTATATTACTATTATTTTAATTATTATATTTTTATTATAAAATTATTATATTGTGAATAGTAATTTGTAGCTAAATAAAATCATACCTTGCTATTTCTTTATAGTAAAGAAACTAGCTCAGATTGAAATTTTTTTTAGCGTTTTAAGAATTGTATAACAAGGCATTAACTTTGATAAGGAACAATAAATAATCAATATCTATTGCATTTCTTTTAAAAAAAAATTTTTCAAAAAAGAAAAGAAGAGAGAGAGAGAGAAAGTGATGGCAAAGTAATTGCGTTAAGAGCTTAGAAAATTTACCGTCCTGTCTGGTATTGACATTTCTGGTAATAAAATTTAATTTCGGCTTATAAAACTAAAATATACGGTATTTAAACCATTTATTTTAAAAAATTTTTCATTCATATGGTAATGATTTATAGGAAATTCTGGTTTTCCAAATTATAATTGTTAATAACCACACATTTAAGTAAAAAATAAAAAACTGAAAAATAAAATAAATTTAACCGAATAAATGTTTTTTACGCCTTGTTATAAGTTATAGTGATAAAATTACCAAATTTTACCTCATTTATCACATATTATAAAAGTTCATTTTACCAAAATTATTACTAAAGCGCTTAGGAAAAAGTTACTGAGTTTTTTAGGGTTGCCATAGTGCCAGGAACACGGTAAATTTTACCATATTCTAGTAATTTTAACCGCACTTTTTTCTCTGTGGGGAACAAAATATTCAACCACGAGAAAATTGGTAATCCGCACGAATGCAGATTTTCGAAAAATACTGAACTGTTTTCTAAAACGTAACAATTTTCTTAAATTTTCTTTATTTAGTTCGTACGCATTTTAACATAAAGATATTTTGTAATTTTTAATATTTTAATTTTGAATTGCATTCAAATCTGGTTTTAAAAAATTATTCTAACTTAATTTGTTCAAAAACACAGCCAGCAATTTTCAAAAAGGAAAAAAAAAATATTATTCAAGATTTGACTACTTGTTATGATGCGCATTTTGACACTTTTTGTTAATTACTTATTTAAGCGTAAACACAATTTTTGACAAGACAAAACTATTTGAATTTTAATTTTAAACTCCAAAATTAAGTTTCCCATGAAAAATGAGTAATGTCTAAGTATTTTTAAGGAGTAGAGATTTCAAATATAAGCAAATACTTTAATGAACACTTTTTTTATTAATTTCTCAGCAAAACAGAATCAAAATTGACGCCAAAATTTTCTAAGAAGAAAAGTAACAAATATTTAGGTTTAACAAGGAATGATCGACAAGTTTTATTTGGCTGAATCTACTATGTATTCTTTTCACTGATTTTTACGTGCTAAAATTGATTTTAACTATTAAAAGTTTCTATTATACGTAAAAATAATTTTTAATCATAATGTTTGTTGTGAAACAATTTACTTTTGAAAATTATGGTAATAATACACTGCAAATATTTCAGGATCAAATTACGGTATAAAGCACTGACACTGTGGGTAAATCAGCCATAAAATACATTTTTACCGTAAAATATTACACTTTTATTTTTACAGTAATATTTATTTAATTAGAGTGATTCAGTGATTTTGCGGTAATTATTATTGCAAAAATCACGGTATATCAGATTTTTTGTTCCTTAATATGTTCTGCTAAAAATACGGTTTTATGGTAAAAAGTACTGACACCCTGAATATTTGTACTTCTTACCGTGTACATTTTGTACATTTAAGGGTGTTATTTTTTTACAGTGTACTTGGTGCTTATATCAATTTATGCTATTATATGTCAGATAAATTTTTCGATAAAATGTTAGTTTTCTGGTCATAAAATTTATTTTAATTTTGAAAATAAATTAACTAATTTCACAAATTAATTAAATAATTAAATTCTGAAAACAAATTAAAGTGAAACTTATATTTTTATACTTAAAGAGCTGAATCAACTAATTACTATAAACGAAAAATAAAAAAAATGGAAGCACGAATCATAGCTTGAGGGAAACTTTTTTAAATGTAGCAGACTCCGCTATATTTCTCTTTGGAAATTCCAATCTGACCAATTTCAGAGCTGATTGTCATAACAAATTTAGATGCAGGGACTCTAGTTAAGACTATGTTGAATTATAATAGTTTATTTAAATATTTGCTTTATTTATATGAATAGAAAAATTTGATTTTAAAGAGAAAAAAATATTTTACCTTGTTGCTTTTTCCGTGCTTTATCACATATAGCTGGTCTCAAATGTACTTTTTCGCCGGAATCAAGAGTACATCGTGCACTGCACACCAGCACACCGAGACATGACTTTTTTAAAATGTGTACATTATGGTTGTTGGTATTGCGCATGGCCCACCCAGAACCGTGCCTTCTCGCTTCCTCACAATCAGGCCTATATACATATCGGCAATGACCATCAGACCATTCTTGAAAAGAATCATAACTTGTCACCTGAAAATAATTCATAAACTTTACTTTAAAATAAAATTAATTTTAAGCAACTTCAAATGGCTTTTCAAACCAAATCTTAATTAGATTTGGAGCGTGTTGAGTAATAAGAAAGTGGAAATTTACTGCAACGCTTTGACGAAACCAAGGAGAACCATAAGCAAGTAATTGAATCCTTCTTAAATATGATAAATAAAACGAAAGCATGATTCGGAGTTTCAAATGGAAACTTGATTCAAATTTGCACGTTTTTAAATTTGAAGCGAATTCTCACCGTTGTTTGATACCGAGGAAAATTTTCATGGCGTTTCTCTCCATATAACCATAACTGCTATTGGCTTTACTTATCTATCATGAAAGCGAGATTTTCTTAGATTCTCTTATTAATAGACTTTAAAAGTCAAAGAGTTCATTTATACGCTAGTCTCTTCCAAAGTATGTGACCATCAAATCTGCATGATCAAAAACTTCTACCTTACTAATTAATAAAAAAAAACTTTCTATTAAAAAAGCTACAAAAATATATCTACCATTTCAATATTAATGTCAAATAAGTAATTATCTTTTCTAATTAGTATCGATAATAGTATCCGTTTCAGTGCTATTTTTTTACGTTATATTACTACTACGTTATATTTTTTTACGTTATACTATACTTGCTTTTCCGCTATGAAAATGTTTATCTTTTCCACTCATAAAAATATGTCTTTCAATACTATTTTTACGTTATTACTAGTTCCTAGAGTGAGAAAAAAAAGCATGGTCAAAACTAGTATAATATGGTCGATTTACCGTGTTTCTGGCTCTTTGTGAAAACTAAAAATCTGGGTAACAATCTTTTTCCGAAATGATTTGGTAATTGTTTTGCTAAAATTAACAATAAAATATGATTTTATGATACGTGATAAAATTTGGTGAATGTGATAAAGTTTAGTAATTTTATCATGACACCTTAGAGAACGGATTAAAAACCGTTTAATCGGCTCAATTTATTTTTTACTTTGTATTTTTTATTAAATGTATGGTAATAAGAACTATAATTTTGAAAACCAGAATTTCCAATAAATCGTTACAAATGGAAAAATTGCCAAATAAGTGGTCCAACTACCATATAATTTGGTTTTATCAACTCGAATTATTATTATTTTTTTTTTTACCAGAAATGTCATTACCAAACAGCACTGTAATTTTACCAGAATTTTTTTCTCCGTGAAAATAGTATACGTTTCAGTGCTTTTTTTTACATTTTACTACTAGTTAATGCTAGTCTTTCTGCTATAAAAATTGTTATCTTTTCTACGCATAAAAATATATCCTTTAACCACTAGCCTTTACGTTACAACTGATTGATGCTAGTTTTGTGATAAATTAATCGTTATATCAGATTTTCAACTGATAAATATGCAATCTTTTATTTTTGGCTACTACTAGTTAATATTAATTTTCTACTTTATAAATCGTTATCTTTTCTACTCATTAAAATATAGCCTTTGCGTTACGATAGATTAATGCTAGTTTCTGCGTTTTATTAATCGTTATATTCGCTTTTCTTCCCATAAATATACATTCTTTTACTTTATTCTACTGCTAGTTAATATTAATTTTCTGCTTTATAAATCGTTATCGTTTCTAATCGTAATAAAATATCACTATATAATACTACTGGTTTTTAAGTTATNAACCGTGCCTTCTCGCTTCCTCACAATCAGGCCTATATACATATCGGCAATGACCATCAGACCATTCTTGAAAAGAATCATAACTTGTCACCTGAAAAAAATTCATAAATTTTACTTTCATTAAAATAAAATTAATTTTAAGTAACTTCAATTTCCTTTTCAAACCAAATGTTAATTAGTTTTGGAACGTGTTGAGTAATAAAAAAAGTAAAAATTTACTACAACGCTTTGACGAAACTAAGGAAAAACATAGCAAGCTACTGAATCCTTCTTAAATCTGAGCGATCAAACGAAAGCATAATTCGGAGGTTTTAAATGGAAACTTGATTCAAATTAACACGTTTTTGAAGTTGAAGCGAATTCTCACCATTGTTTGATATCGCGGAAATTTTTTATTGCGTTTCTCTCCATATAGCCATAGCTGTGATTGGTTTTACTTATCTATCACAAAAGCTAGATTTTCTTATTGTCTTATTAATAAACTTTAATAGTCAAAAAGTTCATTTATACACTAGTCTCTTCCAAAGTATATGGCCCTCAAATTTACATGATCAAAAATTTCTACTTTACTAATTAATGAAAATAACTACCATTTCAATATTAATATTAAATAAGTAATTATCTTTTCTAATTAGTATCAATAATAGTATCCGTTTCAGGGCTATTTTTTTACGTTATACTACTACGTTATACTTCCTAGAGTGAGAAAAAAAAGTATGGTCAAAATTAGCATAATATGGTCGATATATCGTGTTTCTTTCTCGTTGTGAAAGCTAAAAATCTTCGTAATTTTTACCAAAGTGATTTGGTATGTTTTTTGCTAAAATTAGCAGTAAAATATGATTTTATAATGCATCATAAAATTTGGTGAATGTAATAAAGTTTAGTAATTTTATCATGACACCTTAGAGGACGGATTAAAAACCATTTATTCTGCTCAATTTATTTTTCACTTTGTATTTTTTATTAAATGTGTGGTAATAAGAACTATAATTTTAAAAACCAGAATTTCCATTAAACCGTTACAAATGGCGAAATTGCCAAATAAATGGTTCAACTACCATATCCTTGGTTTTATTAACTTGAATTTTTTTTTTTACCAAAAATGTCATTACCATACAGTACTGTAGCTTTACCAGAATTTTTTTTCTCTGTGAAAATAGTACCCGTTTTAGTGCTGTATTTTTTTTACGTTTTACTTCTAGTTAATGCTAGTCTTTCTGCTATAAGAATTTTTATCTTTTCTACTCATAAAAATATATTCTTTTACCACTAGCCTTTGCGTTACGACTGATTAATGCTAGTTTTTGTGCTATATTAATCGTTATATCAGATTTTTGACTCATAAATATGCATTCTTTTGTTCTTTGCTACTACTAGTTAATATTAATTTTCTACTTTATAAATCGCTATCTTTTCTACTCACAAAAATATTTCCTTTTACCACTAGCCTTTGCGTTACGACTGCTTAATGCTAGTGTTTGTGCTAAATTAATCGTTATATTCGCTTTTCTTCTCATAAATATACATTCTTTTACTTTATTTTACTGCTAATTAATATTAATTTTCTGCTTTATAAATCATTATCATTTCTAATCGTAATAAAATATCATTATATAATACTACTGGTTTTTAAGTTATTGCAAGTTAATGCTTATCTATATAAATCTTTAAATTTACCACTCATAAAGTATATCCTTTTACGACTAATTTTACGTTTGAATAAGCAAAAGTATGAACAAATAACATTAGTTTTCCAATTTTCTTTTCTGAAAAGAAAAAAAAAGAAAGAAAAAAAAAACTTTTTTTTTGAAGCATTATTACGGAGCATTTAAATGGTCACTTATAGGCAATTCTCTTATTTAAGTAGAGTAAAATTTAGGGAAGGAGCCTTCGAAAGAACCGATCATTATCTAATGACTTAACCATAAATAGTCCCAGCGGGTATTTGGCGCGCCTCAGCAGTTATTTTGTGGCGCAGGCAATGTAAGCCAATGGTGACGCCGGCCATCACTTTACTTCAGTTGAAAATGAAATAACACAGCGAAATTTCTGTTTAAGAAGGATTTCAAAGCAATCCATCTGTTACATAATGAGTTAATAAGTTTGCAAGTTTTCTCTAAGTACCTCAAGGAACAGAACCTTACTACAAAGAACGATCCCTCCAAGTGTTGGTAAACTTATCAATAATAATGTGCTTACTAAAGTACAGAGACTAACATGTTGTGACAAGAAGTGTTTAATAGTGACGTGTGAAGTAATAATATTGTCTATACCGCAAATATGTTTTAAGATGTTTTAATCAAATTCGTCAATAACTCATTCTTTTTTTCCTAACAATTTGACATATTTGTTGTATATAACATATATAATGTTATCAACATTTTTGTTAAAAGTATGTAATGACTACAGCGAGAAATAAAAGATCAAAATATCAAACTCAAATAAATATAGTAGTCAATCAAGCATTTAGTAACAAATCAATGCTTAGAAATATATTTAGCCCTTACTAAAAGTTATACACGAACTTTAAAACAAATTAATAAAAAAATGTAATATCTTTTAAGAATTATTATTAAAAATTCTGATGCCGAATGGATCAAATAAATTTTATTCATATTTTATTTATGCACTTAATTATTATTTAAGAAAAAGGGGAAATTTTTTAAAAATTTGAGAATTTAAATCCTAAAACTTTATTTTAAACGAAAAACCTAAACGAAAATTTAGCACTTTTCGCTTAGTTTAAATGATTAAAATTAATAAAATATAGTTTTCTAAGTTTCAATTCAAATGATTGTTTTCTAGGTTTCAATCTTTGCTCCTGAAGACGAAGAACCATATCATGCTCTTTGGAATACAAATTAATCTAAAGCAACTATATGTTAATTGCGCGAGTTCTGAAAAATAATCTCTATATAACTTTATATATTCTAACATTTGAAGACTTTTCAAATATTCATTATTGAGTAGAAATTAAATTAAATACTCCCAAAGCCTCCTAAAAACCTGAATCCATTTTGTTTCAGTAAATACTGTTTAGACTTTGCATTAAGTATTACATTAACTTTTGAGCAAAATGAATTACGGTCATTTACATATTATTCACACGTATTATGGGAAAGAGTTATAATTTTTTTTTAAATAAGCACAAAATTACTAATTACTAGCATAATTGGGTACTTGCAAACTCTAGAAAAAGAATACGTGATTGGGATCCACCATTTGATTTAAACCACGTGGCTCAGTCTAATCACGTGGTTGTGCTTGTTGGCCAACGTTACAGCTATGGACTTGATTTATTACCACATTAAATCAATTTTC